TTTAAGGACTAAAAAATCGAGACATTTGGATCTTAAAATAAGACCCGAATTTTAGTAGTGTAGTTGAATGTTCGATTAATGCTATTCACCCAAAACTTTTGTTTGTATATGATAAAAGATTGAAAAAAATTATTGAGAAAATGCCTGGGACATGCTATACGCCCCGCTATACGAGTCACGAAGGGCTGACCANATTGAAGAAAATTATTGAGAAAATGCCTGGGACATGCTATACGCCCCGCTATACGAGTCACGAAGGGCTGACCACCACTCAGTGAGTCCTGGTGACAACATAATTTTGATTGCGATGACTAAATATATTGCATCCCAATGACTCGCTGGGAAAAGTATTGATTGCATTCTATACTAGTGTTATATTCCCGCTTCGAGTTGATTTATTCTTCACTCTACATAGTTTTGTGCCAGTTACATGAAATTTTCAGTTGGTTTTGATTCTGAAAATCGAGTCGTGAGATCTATAAAAGAATACTGTGATCGTTACACAACAAAATTGAACACAATACTAATAAACCTTGACACTCAGAAAATAGTGATAGGGACCGATCGTTTTTCTCTCAGTGTATCGACCTCGTGCAGGTCTTCAATCAGATACCGGTGGCCATGAACGACGTAAATAAAGCGGCCATCATCGTACCGTTCAACCTGTTCGAATTTCCGTTCATAACGTTTGGACTTCGAAATACCGCGCAGACATTTCAACGGAGCGGTCCTCCAACAACGACGAGAACAGCTCTGGGAACCACTCGCTTTCTTCAGCCAGAAACTGCGTTGAGAAAACACTGCCCCTACGACCGAGACATTCACGCTATCCGCGGTACCGTGTAAAAGTTTCGCTACATCTTCGAGGCACAGCATGTCATGATCTTCACTGATTACAAGCCGCTGCGTCACGCTTTCGCTCAATACCCCGACAGAGCGACGCCAACAATTTCATCGCCTGGATTTCATTGGCCAGTTTTCTACCGACATCCAATACGTGGCCGGCAAAGATAACATTGTCGCCGATGCTCTCTCTCGTATTGACGAGATCTCTGCAGCAGTCTCTACGAATAAGCTTGTCGAAGCTCAAGCCGCTGACGAGGAACTCCAACAAGGCCTTCAGGGTCAACATCACGACGTTCTCACCCTGCGACCAGTCAACATCCCAGACTGCGCCACACCAATCTACTGTGACCTGAGTGGCAATCTGATTCGTTCTTTCATTCCTGCACCGTTGGGGAAGAGAATCTTCGACGCTCTCCACATCGTCAGCCATCCTGGAGCACGGGCGTCAACGAGACTGATGACACAACTCCACGGCTGGCCCAGCATCAACCGAGACTGTCGACTGCGGGTCTGCGCATGCCTAGCATAGCAATGAAACAAGGTATCTCGTCATGTCTCATCCTCGATTCAAAATTTTCCAGGACGCACGCGGCGCTTTGAACACATTCACGTGGACATCATCGGACCACACGTCTCGTCCAAAGCGCGTCGGATTTCACTAAACTATACCAGCTGTTACTGCCAATCGACATTATTGATTTTTCTTTTAGTCTCGTTCTGTTTTCTTTTTTTTTCACAATCAATTATTATTCCGAAATTCATATAACGCGTCTTGAATGTTCTGTATTGTTACGTTCGAGCCAAACAAAAAGTATTTAGTCCTCAGGCACCCGACCAAAATATTCAGTCCGATTTCGAAATTCGATGTAAATACATCTCCCGTACCAAATCCAACGACTTTATTATTTCAACCATTAGTCTTTATTTCGCTACCTGCACTTAACCGCCACAAAAAAAATTGATTTGAGCGTAAAAAATTTGTTGTTTAAGCATACAATATAATTCCATTTTGATTGTAAATGCCGCTGTTTAAGCCCTGAATTTCGATTTTCATGATGAAAAATCCATCATGAAAAGTCACCAAACATGATTTTAGCATTACGTTGAAATTGCGAAGTAATTTAGCAATGTCCGTATGGACTACCGATGATTGCATTGACCAAGGTCTTGATACCTCAAAAGCTTTCCGTGTCGCCTTCAGCCTTTCTTCAATTTTTCCTTCAGTCATTTGTTGAATGGTTATGATCACCTCCTCGATGCCCTTTAATGTCATAGAACAGTTGTTGTATTCTAGAAGATTCCATAATATAAATATGAAGTAATCCAATAATTATGAAGAAATTAGGTATTTACCGAATCAGCATCGTATTACAAAACGAAGCCGTTTTCCAATACGAATACAAAGACGAATCAAGGCAAGTGTGCCACGGTTTTGGATAAAAACCGAGAACACACTGGACTCGGGGCTGATTTCCAATGCAGCTCATTATTGAGTACATATTTTAGTCGATAATGCCAGAGCCGGATGTTTCGGGGATTCAAAATCTGGACACTCATGGGATTTTGCAGGGTAATGGAACGGATCAACGAGCGGAAGAGATGTTGAAGATATTGGACAATGCGCAGGAGAGATTGAGAGAAGAAGCTCAGGAGCGGAGGCGTTTAGAAAACGAATTACGAAAGGCTTGGGCAGAGATTCGCAATCGTGATGCAATTGGGGTAAATAATCCACCCGTCAATAGTGATGGTCATGGCCGGAGGGGACTCATAGACCTGAAAGGTGCCTTCAGTTGGTACATTCATTTAATGGCGAGAAGGCCCATAAATTAATACCGTTTTTGGGGTCGTGTGAGGGTGCAAAGGACTTATTGCAGCCTGAGTTACATTCTACACTCCTCAAAACTAGCATGAAAAATAAATTGACTGGAAAAGTATTTGTGCAACTGAAGCATAAAGTGATAAATAGTTTTGGAGAATTAAAAGTGGAATTGGAGGCATTATTCGGCAAAACCAAGTCACTTCGAAATCTTGAAGAAAAACAGACGATTCAAGAAACGAAAAGGAAGTCGAGGAATTACGCTTTCCTATCAATTTTATTTGCATCAATCATGCTAGGCAGCATGATCCCCGTAATAAAGGGGGAGGGAGACTACACCGTTAACGAGTTCGTCCACACCTCAGGCCTACAATTTGAATCCTTAGGTAGATTATTTTTGAGCAATCACATATGGACCGTTGCAGCGACAACAGATGTGACTCCTTGGTTACGAAGAGCGGATCAACTCAAAAATCACTATACATTCACACAAGTTTTGTTCTTGAAAGCTAGAAGATCAGGGGACAATTTTCGGACGATTTTACGAGAACGAATACTGATTCGTTCATCCTAAGATGAACTTGACTCTAAACGAGAGAGAAGGATAACTGAACCTGAAAGATGTCCATCTCCGCAGTGTAGTACGAGATGTCAAGCAACTCCAAGGACTACAGGCAGAATTGGGATAAGAAAAGAGACGTTTGGAAACAAATACGACGTTCTTGGGCTTTCCAGAATACTTCACGCATCCAGTTTCAATAATCTCTAGTGCAACCACATAACTTCTTATTATTACAGTAATGTCACTTTGCTGTTGGTGCCGACGTACTGGCTCGGTACTCAGGTAACTGACTGGAGGGACGGATACAATGTCTTACCCACGGAATTAAAAAAAAATAATAATAATGATATAGCAGTTAATATTTAAATATGTAAAAATGTATAAATTGAAAAATTACGATAATTGAAGGCGAGGAAAAATTCCAAGTATAGGAATTTTCTTCTCTGGTTGGGAGTGATATTGTATTCCAGAATATTCCATAACATAAATATGAAGTAATTGAATAATTATGCAGAAATTAGGTATTCACCGAATCACCATCGTATTACAAAACGAGGCCGTTTTGCAATACGAATACAAAGACGAATCGAGGCAAGTGTGCCACGGTTTTGGATAAAAATCGAGAGCACACTGGACTCGGGGCTGATTTCCAATGTAGCTCATTATTGAGTACATCTTTTAGTCGATTTTGTATTGAATTAAACCGTTACACTTTGAGTTAGGAATAAAGTAACTTTATTATATGAATTGCTGAGAATGAGTCAATATTTCCTCGTCCATTCTACCACACACAACACAGTTTTTGAAATAGCGCACAGTTTGAAGCGGATAGCCCGATATTTTCATTTTTCATATTTCTGTCACTATTTTTGGTGCGATAGAGAAATAACCTTAACACTACTGACATCGGTGGCCGAGTGAGCTAGACGCCAGTCTAGTGTGCGAAAGCTTCCGAATTCGATCTCAAGTGGAGCTGAATTGTTTAATTTGAGGCTCCGGCGAGCCGGAGGTAGCTAATAGAGAAATCGCCTGTACCGACATGGGCTTCCTGTGGTTACCTATGCTACTCCTATGTTCTACATGAGTATAAATACGGTACAGTGTAGAATCCACCGTCGCATGCGTAGGGTCGGATAGAGTGCCAAATGGGTCCCGAAAAGGGACTCAAAGACCTTAAAATAGAGAAAAAAAATTAACACTACATTTCATGTGAATAATTTCAGGGAGTAATTGTTTATGCTGATCCACCGACAGCATGCAGTGTGATAGCCTCACCACCAAAAAATACGAGTTACAATGGAAATTGGATTGCCTTGATAGCCAGATACAATTGCAGCTTTGAAATAAAAGTTCGGATGGCACAGGAAGCCGGTTACGATGCCGCCATAATTCATAACGTTAATAGCAATGAATTAGGTACAGTCAATAAAATTATAATAATTCAATTCGAATTCTCCTGGTTCGCTGAATTGTAAGGCCCAAAAATTATCACAATAAAATCCTTGCACTAACGAGAGCCTAATGAAACGAGGCAAGGGTGATCTAAAGAAGAAAACTAACTCACTAAATGTTGCAAAATACGAGGTGGTTGACGATTTTGGGCGCCGTTAGGTTGTTTGACGAACCTGTCCTGTACCCCGACGGGCTTGCAAGATGGCGGCATACCAGCATCTTGCAAGCCCATTTTCTATTTACAATTGAGCGAGGAGCTTTCACGCAACTGAAATTCACTACCATTTGGGTAGATTTTCACCTTTTGCCATTGAACCAATAATAGTATATTGTGATATAAGGGCAATAAATGGCAGGTTATGACACGAGCGAAAAAAACCCGCACCGCCCAGTCGGGCTTCGCATCCGGGTCTCCCAGTTACACGCCGGGCACTCTCCCAGCTACCCCGAACTACGGAAACTGTCTCTCCAAATTCGCCTCACAACACCACCTAACCGCCTTTAAGCATTAAATCAATTCAAAGAGAGTTAGAATTTAGAAAGAAAAAAAACCCGCACCGCCCAACCGGGATTCGGACCTGGGTCTCGTCCTCGGTTCGTGCAGCAAACTTCACACGCGTCATAACTTGCCACTTTTCGTCCGAATATCACATACTATTTTATATCCAGGCTACAGTCAAAAGTGCGACAACTTTTAGAGAGGCCAGTATCCCTCTGGATGTGGGCGCAAGACGGGGCTCCAGGGGGCGAAGCCCCCCCCGCCGCTGAAGAAAAACCTAATCATCACTAAATGAAAAATAATAGATTTTCAAACCCCATAATCTTTCACACTCCCTAACCAATTTTCTTTGCATGAAACAGAACTTTTTTCTACAATTTATTGATAATTTTTGATTGAAGGAAAGCCCAACTATTCCAAAGAGAATAGATTATTTTTGAAATACAATCATGTCATTTTTAATTCACTTTACTTGAACGATAAAAAACTGTCTCCCACAACTTTCACATGATACTTCTCTCAATTTGTTGAACATAATAAACTTTATTTTGATAAAAAATACTCTTCGGTAACCAACGTCAACAGAACTGAACGCCATTGCCCATTGCAGCTCTCGTCATAGCGCAGTGCTTGCGACGATCCCTACTGATGTCACCAGCAGCGCTGGTGGTGCTTGTTTATCGCCCTAGACGTTAATCAACGCATCGCGGAATTGCTTAATGCATAAGGTTATAATACGCAACTTATTGGATGCAAAACAAAGCAGTAAGTCGCACTTTTGACGTAGCCGTGACATAGACAATTTTCAAGATAAAGGGGACAGTTTCTGATCACTTAAGTCCAGGAGAATCTAGTAATTGATCAAATTTATTTAGGGGCATTATTCACATTATTTATTATTTAATTTTTTTTTGGCCTCAAAACTCAAATTATCCACATTAATGTTAATCACACCGAATGCTAATCAATGCAAGATTATCAGTTTTTAACGACTTTCATAAATATTAGTTAATCGATAAATATAGTTGAATGCTCAAAATTTTGTTAAAAGATCAAATACTTGTGATCAGAAATCTTCTCCTTTAGCCAATTCCTAGTTTATTTTTTCACAATTCTTATTGAACAAAAGAGATAAGCAAAATCGTCCCGAGTGTTACATGAGTAAAATGGAAAAGAGCTTTTGACCCACTTGATTATTCTGCTAACCTTTTCCGTTCGATCCTTAAAATTGGTTTACTCCTCTCTTTGGTCTTTTTACTTTCCGTTTTACTCCTTTTGGTTTAGGCAAAATATTGAAGGGGTCTATTCTGCTCAAACTACCTTTAATATTCCAGGTTGTCCATTTTACATCATATGTAGACGGAGTGTTTTTTAATTACTTTTAAACCTTTTTTGTTTGGTTAGCGCATGGCATGCTGAATCGAGGAAAAATGAAAAAAATATGTTTATGCAATTTTAAATAAATAGGAGTAAAGAAGTCAATGATTACGGTTGGTTTTGCCGCGTTGTGATGAGTCAGGACAATCAAGGACAAAAAAACTGACGGGGGTATCAGTGTTGCCGACTCGGGTTTATAAGGTGTCACCAGTATTATGCGTAAAAAGACAATTAGGAGTTAAAAGTCACCAGATTTTTAAAAAATCATACGTATGAACATTTTTTTAATAGTTTTCAAATACTCAACGAAAAGAAGATACAGCACACCAGCTTAGTGAAATTATCTGAAATGATACTCAACAAAAGAAAAAGAAACTATATAAAAAAATATATATGTATGATCCTATAATATGATGAATACTGTTTTACATGTCATAATGTATTCACATTGTACACCCATCATCACAGAGAAAGAGAGAGATTGATTGATTGGTTGATTACTTTTATTACTGTACATTATGTTGTACAAAGTACACAATGACATTTCTCATGCACCGATTGACAGAGTAAATAAACAGACAGAGAAAGAGAGAGAGAGAGAGAGAGAGAGAGAGAGAGAGAGA